TCTCCCCCGGGGGGGGGGGGGGGGGGGGGCGGGGGGCCTGCCGCTCCCATTGTCCGGGGCGAGAAAATCCCTGTTCGTATCTGCGGATCCGACATAGGTCGGATCCGCGTAACTCGGGGACTGCCTGTAACTACTACCTGTTGTATGTGACTTATCATTTAAATCAGCTTCTGTACCAGATGACTGAAAATAGCTAATGGGATGCCAATTTTTATGGAAGATAGGTCCATCGATGGCTATTAGCCAGGATGGGCAGGGTGATGTCCCTAGCCTCAGCCAGAAGCTGAGAACGGATGACAGGGATGGATAACTTGATGGTTATCCATTTCCTCTAGGGCACCTGGCATTGGCCACTGTCAGAAGACAGGATACTGGGCTAGATGGACCTTTGATCTGACCCAGTATGGCTGTTCTTATGTTCTCACTGTTTGAATTAGATGCAATCATACTATTGGCCCTGTCTCCATGGATCTGCAGTGGGATTTGAACCCTCCCCTCCCAATCTTTAGATCCGTTGCTTAGACTCTTATTGCTTGCTTAAGTGCAGGCCCCTTCTAAAACATTCATTGGAGGAGGGCTTGATGCACCTTTCCCTGGGAATTATGTATGTAGTTATTCATCATTTATAGAACACTGATGTTCAGGGTCCTAGATTGTATCCCTGGCTTTGGTATAGGAGTGTGGTTTACAGTGATTAAAAATAGGAGAAGCAAAATTGGTTAAGTTATTCTGAGAGACTCTGTGTGGTAGTGGATGAAATTGGGGTTAGTTCTGTTAGAGACTTGGGTTGTGGGTCTGTAGTGATCTTGCAGCAAGCAGGTTGGCGGGGGAGGCTGCTCCAGCCCCCCACCATTTAACTGGTAAGCCTCACCTATTAAGGGTTAGGCTTCCTAGTTAACCATTCACATACCTAGATTCACATTACCTTGCGTATAACTGATATTAAAGGAATCAATACAGGAGAAGCAACCATGTGGCCAAAAGACAGGTCTCAGCATGAATTAGGTATTTTGCAAAATGGGTGACACAGAAAAGTGAGACACTGATGAAAAGTTTCCAGAAGGATGATTTTTTAATGGTTCTCTCTGTAATATTTTTCAAACCACTATGAAAAATACAAATTGGGCTCAAAGTTTATATTCTGTGGCTTGTTTTTTGTTCGTCCAATTTTTTTATAGAATGATGTAAGGCTCCTGTTAAACTGAACTCTAGTTCTGTTGCATTGTAACAGGGAATTTGTCACTGGGGAAATTTGATATTTTTTTCTTTTTGTCTGTTGCTTTGTGTGGTTATGACTAGGTGTGTGATGCAAAGAGCTATACTGGTATATTTCTCTGCTCAGGTATGGTGTTGTGCTGCGGAAGCTGGACCTGGTAAAAGAGGCCATTGATGTGTTTGTTGAAGCTGTCCATGTTTTGCCTTTGCACTGGGGAGCCTGGCTGGAACTCTGTAATCTGATCACAGACAAAGAGATGGTAAAACTTATCTTTAATTTGTGATATAAGCCAGTGGTTGATGGAATAATGTCTTTTTGGTCATTTTCTTGTAACTGCTGCTGTGCAGCAAGTATTTACCACCATGTAGTCTGGAATACATTTCTGCAGACAGGGTCTGGCAATGGATTGTTCTTCTCTCTAACTTTTCCACCTGAGAATGAGTCCAACAACCCCTTATGAAAGCGAGGGCAGCAGTTAGAAACAAAAGATTATAACACATGGCAAGTTAGACAGTGTGATGGCCCATCGGGGAGCCCCTGACCCTGCACCCCCATCTAGAATCATAGAATCATAGAATCATAGAATAATAGGACTGGAAGGGACCTCGAGAGGTCATCGAGTCCAGCCCCCCGCCCTCAAGGCAGGATCAAGCTCTGTCTACACCATCCCTGACAGATGTCTATCTAACCTGTTCTTAAATATCTCCAGAGAGGGAGATTCCACCACCTCCCTTGGCAATTTATTCCAATATTTGACCACCCTGACAGTTAGGAATTTTTTCCTAATGTCCAATCTAAACCTCCCCTGCTGCACTTTAAGCCCATTACTCCTTGTCCTGTCCTCAGAAACCAAGAGGAACAAATTTTCTCCTTCCTCCTTGTGACACCCTTTTAGATATTTGAAAACCGCTATCATGTCCCCCCTTAATCTTCTTTTTTCCAAACTAAACAAGCCCAGTTCATGAAGCCTGGCTTCATAGGTCATGTTCTCTAAACCTTTAATCATTCTTGTTGCTCTTCTCTGTACCCTTTCCAATTTCTCCACATCTTTCTTGAAATGTGGCGCCCAGAACTGGACACAGTACTCCAGCTGAGGCCTAACTAGTGCAGAGTAGAGCGGCAGAATGACTTCACGAGTTTTGCTTACAACACACCTGTTGATACAACCTAGAATCATATTTGCTTTTTTTGCAACAGCATCACACTGTTGACTCATATTCAACTTGTGGTCCACTATGACCCCTAGATCCCTTTCTGCCATGCTCCTTCCTAGACAGTCGCTTCCCATCTTGTATGTATGGAACTGATTGTTCCTTCCTAAGTGGAGCACTTTGCATTTCTCTTTATTAAACCTCATCCTGTTTACCTCTGACCATTTCTCTAACTTGCTAAGGTCATTTTGAATTATGTCCCTATCCTCCAAAGAAGTTGCAACCCCACCCAGTTTGGTATCATCTGCAAACTTAATAAGCGTACTCTCTATCCCAATATCTACATCATTGATGAAGATGTTGAACAGTATGGGTCCCAAAACAGACCCTTGAGGAACTCCACTTGTTATCCCTTTCCAGCAGGATTTAGAACCGTTAACAACAACTCTCTGACTACGGTTATCCAGCCAATTATGCACCCACCTTATCGTGGCCCTATCTAAGTTATATTTGCCTAGTTTATCAATAAGAATATCATGCGAGACCGTATCAAATGCCTTACTAAAGTCTAGGTATATGACATCCACCGCTTCTCCCTTATCCACAAGGCTCGTTATCTTATCAAAGAAAGCTATCAGATTAGTTTGGCATGACTTGTTCTTCACAAACCCATGCTGGCTATTCCCTATCACTTTATTACCTTCCAAGTGTTTGCATATGATTTCCTTAATTACCTGCTCCATTATCTTCCCTGGGACAGACGTTAAACTGACCGGTCTGTAGTTTCCTGGGTTGTTCTTATTCCCCTTTTTATAGATGGGCACAATATTTGCCCTTTTCCAGTCTTCTGGAATCTCCCCTGTCTGCCATGATTTTTCAAAGATCATAGCTAAAGGCTCAGATACCTCCTCTATCAGCTCCTTGAGTATCCTGGGATGCATTTCATCAGGACCTGGTGACTTGCTGACATCTAACTTTCCTAAGTGATTTTTAACTTGTTCTTTGTGTATCCTATCTTCTAAACTTACCCTCTCTCTGCTTGTATTCACTACGTTAGGCACACCTCCAGACTTCTCGGTGAAGACCGAAACAAAGAAGTCATTGAGCATCTCCGCCATTTCCAAGTTCCCTGTTACTGCTTCTCCCTCCTCGCTAAGCAGTGGGCCTACCCTGTCCTTGGTCTTCCTCTTGCTTTTAATGTATTTATAAAAGGTCTTCTTGTTTCCCTTTATGCCTGTAGCTAGTTTGATCTCATTTTGTGCCTTTGCCTTTCTAATCTTGCCCCTGCATTCCCGTGTTGCTTGCCTATATTCATCCTTTGTTAGTTGTCCTAGTTTCCATTTTTTATATGACTCCTTTTTTATTTTGAGATCATGCAAGATCTCCTTGTTAAGCCAAGCTGGTCTTTTGCCATATTTTCTATCTTTCCTACACAGCGGAATTGTTTGCTTTTGGGCCCTTAACAACGTCCCTTTGAAATACTTCCAACTCTCCTCAGTTGTTTTTCCCTTCAGTCTTGCTTCCCATGGGACCTTACCTACAAGTTCTCTGAGCTTATCAAAATCTGCCTTCCTGAAATCCATAACCTCAATTGTGGTGGTCTCCCTTCTACCTTTCCTTAAGATCATGAACTCTATTATTTCGTGGTCACTGTCCCCTATACTGTCTTCCACTTTCAAGTTCTCAACTAGTTCCTCCCTATTTGTTAAAACCAAATCCAGAACAGCTTCTCCTCTGGTAGCTTTTTCAACCTTCTGAAACAGAAAGTTGTCTCCAATGCAGTCCAGAAACTTATTGGATAGCCTGTGCCTCGCTGTGTTAGTTTCCCAACATATATCTACAGCTAGATGTGACTCTGACAGCCAGTGGAATAGAAGGTTTTATTGCTTCTCAGAGATACAGCACAGCATGGGGTCGATGTTAACATAGGAGTCAGGGCAGAGCCTTAGTCCTCTTGGTGGAAAGGGGTTCACAGGCCCCTACCTCCCACCCCCTCGTACTGGACATAGTCTGCTCTCTTCATGCTGCCCCCAGCCAAGATTGCTTTGACCCCCAGCATCTGGACTCTTAGCCCCCAGGCGGCCACGCCCCTTGCTTTTTCAGATAGCCTTCACCTAGCCTAGGTGTCTGAGCCATTGCCTACGTGCCTCCCCTCAGAGGCCATCCCCCACTGGGCACTGTACACAGACCCACGCAGAGTCTCTGCAGACCAGCATACAGCACAACACAGCAACCAGTGAATGCAGAACCAGCGTGGATCCAGGGCCACAAGAGTGGATGGCACCCCCACTATGTCACAGATGGCAGTCAATATAAAGGAGAAGTTACTGAAGAGTAGAAAATTGATAAGGGAAACTAATAACTTTGGGGCAAAATCTCTGGGGTGGCTAAGGACATTAAGAAGTTTTTAAAGTCTATCAGGAATGAAAGAAATCCTAATGTTGTCGAGCCCTATTACTAGATGTCAGTGGTAAAATAGCTAATGATGCTAAAAGGGCAGAAGAGCTCAATAAGTTTTCTGTTGCTGGAAAGAAGCAGACTTATTTCATTGTGTGTGAGGATGAACTACTTTCCAGTCCATTAGTGACTAAGGATGATACTAAACAGCAACTGCTGGGCTGAATATTTTTACATCAGTAGGCGTGGATAACTTACACTCAGGAATCCTACAAAAATTGTCTGAGGCGCTCTCTGGGCTGTTAATGTTAATTTTTGATAAATTCTGTGAAAATTCCAGAAGACTAGAAGAGCGCCTGACTTAGGTAGTAAGAGGCCAATTGGTCTGACAGAAGAATGGAACAGCTGATTAACTAAACCCAATCAATATAGAAAATGCCTTATCAAGCAAATCTGATTTTCATTTTCTGACAAGATAATACATTTGCTGGATGAAGGTAACTTTGTAGATGTAACGTATTGTTCACTGTTTGTATTTCTGCAATGCCTCAGAACCACTGCTTAATTTGTAATGAAACAGATTCTGGGTGCCAGCACACAGAGAGCCCTACTGTGCTACATGCTCTACACAAACAGAACAAAAAGGAAGCCATGCTTAGAATTCTATAGGGTATCTGATATTCGTGTCCATTCTGATTGGTTTTTTTTGAAGAGCACAGTACAATATCAACAAAGCCCATCTGAATTGGATTAAGAACTGGCTAACTGACAGATCTCAACATGTAGCTGTCAACAGTCTTCATCAAGGAGAGGTGTTTCTGTGGGGGGGTCTCTGGGATTAGTATAGGCCTGATGCTATTCAACATTTTCATCAGTAATCTGGAAATAACTTTAAAATCTGCACATGACACACAAATTGATGGAATGGCAAATAAGGAAAGGGCAATCATGTTTGTAAAACAATCTGGATTTCTTGGTAAACTGGACCCATTCAAACAAAATGTATTTTAATAAAGTCAAATATAGGGTCATATAATTAGGAACAAGAAATGCAGGTCATTCCTACCAATTGGGGGATGTATTTGGTATTCCTCTGATTCTGAAAAGGTTTCAGGTGTCCTAGTGACACTTGACCATCAGCTCCCAGGACAATGGGGTAGCAAAAAGGGCTTGATGTGATACTTGGAAGTGTGAACAATAGTTGTGAGATGACTTTATCTCTGTATATGGCATTGCTAAGACTGATACAGGAATATTATATGTGATCGTTTTTGTGACCATGTTTTAAAAAAAATTGAGGAACCATAAAAATTACATGGGGGGAGGGGTAAAGAAAATGCCTAAGAAACTTAAGCCCAATCTGGTTTTATGTATCAAAAAGATCAAAAAGTGACTTGATTATGAGGAGAGAATGTTGGGTGCCAAAGGGCCTTTTAATCTACCAGATATGGTCATAACAAGAAACAATTAGTGGAAGTTAAAGCCAGACAAATTCAAATGAGAAATATGCCATACATTTTAGTAGTGAGGATGATTTAACAATAGGAGTAACCTGCTAAGAAAGCTGTGGATTATCCATCTCTTGTCGTCTTCAGATCAATGGTGAATGTCTTTCTAGAAGTCTCAGAGGGGTAGCCATGTTAGTCTGTAACTTAAAAAACAAGTCATCCTGTGACACCTTACAGACCATCAAAAATATATATAGTACCGTGAGCATTCGTGGGCACAACCCACTACTTTCTGGAAGGTATGTTTTAGCCAAGTAAGTTATTGAGCTTAGTGCAGGAATAACTGGATGAAATTTTATGTCCTGTGTTGTACAGAAGTCAGACTAGATGATTGATCAAAGTGAACTTTCTGGCCTTAAAAATACCTATTAATCTGTAGTCAGGATTGGATCTCTTCTATGGAAGTATCTGATATTAAGTTGACAGAATCCTTTAGTTCACGCTTTTGTGTCTTGATCTTTGCATCACTGGGTAGAATTACTATCTAAGGAGAAGGCTTTGTTGCCTTTGTCATCTAAAGATCTGACTACTGGATGAAGAGAGAGCTGATGTTTTCTCTCTTCTGCAGGAGGAATTGAGGTGTTGTGGATTATCCTCTTAGTGTGTCCCTTTTTTGTTTCGTTGTTGCCAGCTGAAGGGTCTGTCCTTGCCAGACACGTGGATGAAGGAGTTTTTCCTGGCACACATTTACACAGAGTTGCAGCTGATAGAAGAAGCTCTGCAGAAATACCAGAGTCTCATTGATGCGGGTTTTTCCAAGAGCACATACATAATTTCCCAGATTGCAGTTGCCTACCATAATATCAGAGGTCAGTGAAATCAGCTGATGGCAGAGGGTGGTGGGGAGTGGGATCTCCTGCTACAATCTCTGCATTAATCAGCAGCACTTCCTCTGTCTGCAGACATAGACAAAGCTCTCTCTATCTTCAATGAACTAAGGAAACAAGACCCATACAGGATAGAAAACATGGACACCTTCTCCAACCTGCTGTATGTTCGGGTGAGTCATCCACATTGCTCAGAGGCTGTAAAATACTTTACTGCAGAGGAGAGTACCTGAGCTAAGTTAGTCCAGTCATATGAATGTGAACATGTCTCTTGGGACATACATACAGGTGTGCATTTCTAATCTCCCCACCCTTCTTCCCTCTGAAGTGGTGTCACACTTCCCCCCCCTGCAGTCTCCTTCCTCTTTTCTAACAGAGCATGAAGCCTGAGCTGAGTTACCTGGCTCACAATCTGTGTGAGATTGACAAGTATCGTGTGGAGACGTGCTGTGTGATAGGTGAGAGGCAGCTCTTCCAGTTTGTCCCTGAGGCTGCAAGGGGTGGGAAGCAGTGTTCCCTGTAAGCTGAGCACGTGGGTGGCCACCCAGGAGAGATTCAAGTGCCACACAGCCAATTAGCAAAGTGTCGACAGCTGGCAGCATGTGTTTCTATTGGTGGTGTACATCTGCACATGCTTTGGGTCACATAACATTCGTCACATGGATGGAAAAAATTAGAGGAAATACTGATGGAAAGGTGGCTTGCTGATCTCTTTCCACATGAATTATTATCAGGTCTGTTGAGGCGAGGCTGGCTGAAGCAGCTCTCGCTCAAGGTATAACAGCAGATGAAACGGTATTGCATTAGAAGTCAGTGCAGTGTTGACACAGAGGCGATGGTTGGGCGTATGCATGGTGGGCTTTCTATGCAGCTCTGAGATCCTGTAATACTGTTGTTTGGTTCTGGACACATAATGCCAGAACAGAGGTCAGACTAAGGCTTGGAGTTATGAAATTAATTGGATCTGCCTTAATAGATTTCTCCCTTCTCTAATTTAAATGAAAAAAATAGATGCCACAGCTTGTATCTGGCTTCCTAATCCCCTTCTTCTTTTTCCTGTTCACTTTACTTTTCTAGGGAATTACTATAGTCTGCGCTCTCAGCATGAAAAAGCAGCACTCTATTTCCAGAGAGCCTTGAAATTGAACCCTCGGTATCTTGGAGCCTGGACCCTCATGGGACATGAGTACATGGAAATGAAGAACACATCTGCAGCTATCCAAGCTTATAGGTATGTGTGCAGGGGCCATGCGAGGCAGAGAATGGCCTCGAGTGTGCATGAGGTAGTGACAGATTTGGATGGAAGTGGAGGAGTGTCTTGTGTGGACTTGTTAGGAGGCCTCTTACTGGTCCATATTCCTTTCCCCATGCACTGAGTTGCTTTGAAACCTCCAGTTTCCAAACGCTTACACCACTTTCTCTTTTCTCTGGCAGACATGCAATAGAGGTGAACAAGAGGGACTACAGAGCCTGGTATGGACTTGGGCAAACTTATGAGATCCTCAAGATGCCATTTTACTGTCTGTATTATTACCGACGGGCCCACCAGCTCAGGTAAGGCTGTGCTGGATTTCATCGGTTAGTTAGCTTGAGACAGTACATGTTCTGAGGTGGCATGACTGGCTGTTGTCTCTCACAGGCCCAACGATTCCCGTATGCTGGTTGCTCTGGGAGAGTGTTATGAGAAACTCAATCAGCTGGTAGAAGCTAAAAAGGTAAGTGCTGCAGGGCAGGCTGGGTATCCAGGTAGCTGCCAGGAAGCAGCTAGAGGCACAGGGCACGTTAGTTCTCTAGGTTTTCCACACGGTCTTAACTGCACACTTAGAAAGTCATGGATGGGAGATAGTGGTCAGAATGGCTATTCGGTTACCTTCAGCCACAGGCGGCATGTGCACCACCCCAGGTGGGGGCGAGCGGGGGGCAGCATCAGCGGCAGGAGGCCTGAGTGCAGCCCTCCCTTCCTCCACTCACCAACAGCAGCATTGGGGAAGGCACAGGCCATGTGGCTCCAGCCCATGCAGCGCTGCTCCGGGGAGTGCTGGTGAGAGGTGAGCGTGGAGAGCTGGGACAAGAATGAGGTGGGAGCGGAGAAAGGGGAAGGGAGAGGCGAAGTCGGTGCCCCCCTCCACCCCTACCACTTGTCACCTATGCCTTCAGTCCTGACCTGGATCCCAGGGTGTGTGGGGGAGCTGTGTGCAAGTTCCTGTTAGAATTGTGGTTTCGGGGGAAGTTGTGCCCTCACCATCTGCCCAGAGCTGGGGCTGGTGTCTGCTGTGGCCTTCCAGAAAATGAGATCTCCTCATGCATCTCTGCTTGAGGGCTTTGCAGTGACTGGGTCTGTATGTGACCAGGGTGCACTCACTGCATGCCAGAGAAGACCCTGTGCTGAGCGGCTTGTGTGACTCTCTCCTTCCTTGGCAGTGTTATTGGAGAGCTTATGCGGTGGGGGATGTGGAGAAAATGGCACTGGTGAAACTAGCCAAGTGAGTATGACTCGGCGTGTTTCTCAGTGTGAAAAGCACTGAGATCTGAAGGGCTGGGTATTCTTTCAATGTGCTGGGTGAGTGGTTTCCCTCTGGCAGGGGTAGGCATCCTATCGCCCATGGGTGGGATCTTGCCTGCTGCTTAATTTCATCCAGCCCATGGGCTGTAGGAACTACCTCTGCCCTCGTGGGATGCTGAAGGGGGCACAGTGGCCCTTATCCCCAAGGCAGGAGGGGAGCTGCAGGGACATTGGGGCAAGAGCTCCAGCCACACTTGGTGGCTAAACAGGTCCCAGACTCCGTCCCAGAGGAAGGGAGGCATCCTGGGCTTTTGGAGGTGGAGCAGCAGTGGGGGCTGCACCTTCTCAGTGGTAGCCTCGGTTATGGCAACATTGGGCACATCTGGGCTTCTTGTCCAGCAGCCGCCGCCACAGCTGCCTGAGCATCCAGCCCAACACTCAGTTGGTGCAGCCCTTCTTCCTGCCTGGCCCCAGAGGCGGGGCAGCCCTGAGCCCCAGCAGCAGCCAAGAACATGTCCAACCCGGGGGCACAGAGGAACAGACTGTCAGGTTGCAACAGGTGAGGAGGGAACTGGAGAGCTCCCAGGACTGAGCATGGGCCCCACTGAGCTCTGGGTCTGATCCACTGCTGGCTGCAGAGACAGGAGTGGAAAGGTGGAAGGAGGCCAGTGGTGGAAGGGACTGGGGACCAAGAGCTGGGCTTTGTGAGGAGACGGGGGGATAAGTGGACGGAGTAAGCCTGGTTTGGGAGGCTGCTTTGGGGAGAAGGGGGAGGGGGTTCAGAGAGTAGAGGAGTTGGGAGCAGGGGCTGTTGTAGGGAGGCAACTTAAGGTGGGAGGAGGGGGAGGTCTGGTGTGGGGTGGGGAGCAAGCTAGTGCAGTGTGTGGGGTGGAGGCGAGAGCAGAGTTGGGGGTGTTGGGATGGGGGATGAAAGGAAAGAACCTAGGAGAGCGCCCCTGGGAGAGCCTCTTTGTGTTCTAAGCCCTGCAAGCAGCACGCCCAGCTGGAGGGGTGGATGGGATTGAGCTCCCTCCCTGTGTATTTGAGGTTGGACCTGGGGCTTGAAGGCTCAGGCCTTAGACAAAAGTAGTTTCTCTCCTCTCTCTCAGCCCCTCCTGCCCAGTTTGGGGCAGATTGCTGAGGGGTCTTTGCACACGGCTTGTTTGAAGCATTGCAGTGGTATTGAATGTCAAATAGGATTGTTGACTCTAATGCAACAAGCCCTGCATCTTGGTGCCCCTACCCCCATGGAGCTGGTGACGTGAGTGGCTCACCCCACCTCATTCAGGAATCTCCACCCCTGGTCAATGGAAACCCCAACTTCTATCCTTATGTCTTGCCCCAGTTCTGTAAAAGAGCCCCTGTTTGCATGTGTTGTCCACTGAGGAACCTAGAAACCCATAACTAACTGGCAAGCAATGTTAGTAACTAATTGCTGTCCTGATGGATGGTCTGGTACCCTCTCTCTGAGGCAATGGGTATTGTCTGTCTGCTTCTAAGGAACTGGGCCTGGCTGCAGCAAGTACATTTTAAGGGTTTGGAACGGGTCCCATATGAAGAGAGATTAGAAAAGAGGAGACTAAGGGGGGATCTGATAGAGGTCTATACAATCATGACTGGTGTGGAGAAAGTGAATAAGGAAAAGTTATTGACTTGTTCCCATAATGTAAGAACTAGGGGTCACCAAATGGAATGAATAGGTAGCAGGTTTAAAACAACAAAAGGAAATATTTCTGCACGCAATGCACAGTCCATCTATAGAACTCTTTTCCAGAAAATATTGTGAAGGCCAGGACTTTAACAGGGTTGAAAAAAGAACTAGATAGATTCATGGAGGTTAGGTCTGTCAATGGCTGTTAGCCAGGATGGTAGGAATGGTGTCCCTAGCCTCTGTCTTTCAGAGGCTGGGAATGAGTGGCAAGGGAAGAGGGATCCCTTGATGCTTACCTATTCTGTTAATTCCCTCTGGGGCACCAGGCATTGGCCTCTGTTGGAAGACCGGACACTGGGCTAGATGGACCTTTGGTCTGACCCAGTATGGCTGTTCTTGTGCAGCACAGTCCGGAACTTGTTTGTACTTGGCAGAGACCCTTTCTAAAGGCCTGTCCAGGACAGATAGAAGTTCTTGCTTTTGGATCTCTTCCATCTCTTGTTTTTTTGACCCAATTTGTTTCCTTTCCTAGGCTGCATGAACAGCTGAATGAATCAGAACAGGCTGCTCAGTGCTACATCAAATATATCCAGGATATCTATTCCTGTGGGGTAAGTTGATAGTAAAGTGACAGGTGGAAGAAGTAAGGGAGAATGATGTAGAACTGAAACCAGCTTTTGCTGTTTTTTGCACTGTGCTTTAGGAGATAGTGGAGCACCTGGAGGTGAGCACTGCCTTCCGCTACCTAGCCCAATATTACTTCAAGTGTAAGCTCTGGGATGAAGCCTCGGCCTGTGCTCAGAAATGCTGTGCATTCAATGATGTGAGTAGCCAATCTCCAATGTCCCTTTGTTAGGCGGAGTCTTATCTTGAGCTCTGTCTGTTTCTTCTGGAAGCTGGCGCAGTCCTTCTGTTGGAGGAGCATGGGCTTCATCCCATCTATGGCCCCATCTATGTGAGAAGACCCTCTGTGCTGCTGCTCACCTATTTCCAACTGTTGCCTCTTAGTGAAGTTCTGGGGCTAAGAGCTGCACTGGTTTGGCATTCAGTAGTTCAGAAGTAACTTAGGACTTGGAGTGGTCCTCGGCTCTCCAGCATGATACCCTGCCATCTTTCTGTGGGAACTAATGGACTCCTGGAGTCCTTCGTGTCGCTTGTTATCTGTGATTTTACACATAGACAATACAAAAGATGCAGAATCTGAGATTCTCTCAGGCCGTAGTTGGACGCTCTGGATTCCACGACAATCCAGGTGTAGATGTTGTGGATGTCACCAGCATAAAACCCTCTCCCAAGCAAAGAACTTGGAGAAGAGAAGGCCCGGTGACTGAGTCTCTTAAAATCTGCTATTGCAGTTCTGTTTTGTGGAAGGTGCCTAGATTTTTATAGTGAGGGGGCAGGACAGACACTTAAGATAATCAGGTGTGCAAAACAAGTAATCTATAAGCCATGGGGCTGCGAAGAGGATATTAAAGGGGATCTATTTTATCTTCAACTGGGCTGTTGTTAGCTGGAAAACCAGCATCCTTTAGTATGTAGTATTGTGTCTTGCAGCCCCAGTGAGAGCCAAACTGTTGTTGTGTTCAACTTATTTATAAATGATCTAGACCAGGCATGTCCAAAGTCCGGCCCGCGGGCCAATTGCGGCCCGTGTTCCGGTTTAATACGGCCCCACGGGTAATTTGGCAATATCTATCTTTTATGGCCCCCAACGAATCCATATGTATTGAGATGAATACATTGTAAAATCTCAGTTAAAGTCAGTTGGTCTAAATCAGTTATAAATATATTTGGACACAACATGTATACTTGGTGTTATGTTCCTGTTCATATTTTTTGAACTTAAAAGTTGACAGACAACCTTTATTACCAATAATATGTAATGTACTTTACAATGTTCCTGACATATATTTCAGCTTCCTGGATTTTTTTTTTCATCTGGCCTTCAGATATGAAAGGCAGAGTGATTTAACACCTGTTTAGATTTGTCATCCATGTGACGAAATGAAAAGTATGCCGTTTGCAATAAACTTTGCATAAAATAGTTAATTTGCATTTAATTTTAATGGTTCAAAGAATGTCAGGCAAAATGGTCGGCCCTCACGCTTGTTCACTTCATCAAATCTGGCCCTCTTTGAAAAAAGTTTGGGCACCCCTGATCTAGACAAAGGGGTAGACAGTGAGGTGACAAAATTTGCAGATGATTCCAAATTGCTCAAGATAGTTAAGACCAAAGCTGACTGTGCAGAGCTTCACAAAGATCTCACCAGACTAAGTGATTGGGCAACAAAATGGCAAATGAAATCTAATGTTGGTAAATGTAAAGTAATGCACATTGGAAAAAATAATCCCAATTATACGTACAGTATGATGGGGACTAATTTGGCTACAACTACTCGAGAGAGAGATCATGGAGTCATTGTGGATAGTTCTCTGAAAACATCCACTCAGTGTTCAGCGGCGGTCTAAAAAGCAAATAGAATGTTAGGAGCCATTAAAAAAGGAATAGACAATGAGATAGAAAATATCTTACTGTCTCTATATAAAACCATGGTATGTCCACATCTTGAATACTGTGTATAGATGTGGTCGCCTCATCTCAAAAAAGATATATTGGCATTGGAAAAGGTTCAGAAAAGGGCAATAAAAATGATGAGGGGTTTGGAATGGGTCCCATATGAAGAGAGATTAAAAAGACCTGGACTTTTCAGCTTAGAAAAGAGGAGAGTAAAGGGGGATATGATAGAAGTCTATAAAATCATGACTGGTGTGGAAAAAGTTGGTATGGAAAAGTTATTTACTTATTCCCACAATAAAAGAACTAGGGGTAACCAAGTGAAATTAATAGGCAGCAGGTTTAAAACAAACAAAAGGAAGTTTTTTCTTCACTCAGCGTACAGTCAACCTGTGGAACTCCTTTCCTGTGGAAGGCTAGAACTTTAACAGGGTTCAAAAAAGAGCTAGATAGATTCATGGAGGTTAGGTTCATCAATGGCTATTGGCCAGGATGGGTAGGAATGTTATCCCTAGCCTCTGCTTCTCTGAAGGTGGGTGATAGGGGAGAGATCACGTGAGGATTAACTGTTGTGATCCTTCCCTCTGGGGAATCTGGCATTGGCCATTGTCAGCAGGATATTGGGCTATGTGGACCTTTGGTCTGACCCAGTATGGCTGTTCTGATGTTCTTATGTGTATTGTTCACATTGCTGCTGAATTTGACCCTGAAGTCTCTACTCCAGCCTACATTATGTAATTGACCTACTAATGCAGTATTTTGACTCTTGGCAGACAAGAGAAGAAGGGAAGGCCTTGCTGCGACAGATTTTACAGCTACGCAACCAAGGAGAAACCTCCTCCACAGAGATTGCTGCTCCCTTCTTCCTCCCTGCATCGCTGTCATCCAACAACACGCCCACACGGAGAGTGTCCCCACTCAACCTGTCTTCAGTTACTCCATGAATGGTGCTGATACTTTCCTGGGCCAGTCTAGGGAAACTGGGGACTTGAACCCACCCTCCAGGAACAACCACCTCACACCTGCCAAGCTTCCTTCTGGTACTGCCTCCTCTTGGAGGCGGAAATGCTGAGAACCCAGAGCCGACGATAGCTGTTGTATCAGTGCAGGCTAAGAGCCCTGAGGAACCAATGTGAAGTGCCTGTGCCGAAATATCAGAAACCACTGTGCTTCTCACTGCCATGCTCCGAGCATGTGAGAAGCCGCTGCTCCCTTCCTGAGGTCTGCCTGAGCGGACATGTCTCTACTGTTACCTCTGAACTTCTTTCAGGGGCCTCACAGTGGGACTGCTGCTGCCTACTGCAGGAACTGTCCTCTGCTGGCTTCTCTATGGACTCTTTTCTGCAGCTGCACCCAAACTGTTCAGCCAGTACAGTAAGAGCAGCATTTTGGCCTCACTGCTGTCGTGAAAGGGAAACGCGTTTGGGGATTGAGAGGTGTCAGTGTTAAGTGGCCTCCCCTCTCCCCTGGGTGCTGTTAGGGCTGTGGCTCAGCTAGCGGTCTACTCTAGTGGGAGTGACACCATTAAATGTTGGTAGGCATGTTGCTGTCCCTGGAGATTGTCACGGCACAGATTTCCTTCCTCTTATAACAAACACAATTGAACTCGCTATAGAAATGTTTCAGTTTTCCATAAATTCGTTAAGGAGGGGGGACTGGTAGCCAGTAGCTGCCTAGCTCAGAGTTGATTAACCCTGGTCAGAGTCCTGTGTGGTAGTCCAAGTCCTTCAGTCAGGTGCAGCATTTTGCCTAGGACAGACGTGGTAGTTAGATTGGATGGGAACAGTGTCAGTTTGACCATTGACTTGCAGTCTGACTTCAGCAGTGGATTGACTTGGCTGTTCAGTTTCATTCTCCAAACTGAGTCTGTGGCACTACTGTTGCAGGTGCTTGGTTTGTCTCTCTAGTTGAAGTTTCTATGCCCTTTCTAGAAAAGCAGTTAGAGGAAGGCGAGGTGCCATCCTAGTATGGCATTCTGTTGGACAGAGCCTGGAGAAGACTGGTAGAACACAAACAGATCTAGTTTTGTGGGAGCCACTTGCTCCTAGGCTGGAGCTGTAAAGAACAGTTGCCCTTCAGTAACTAGTTCTTCTGGAAACTGTCCAGGAAGATCCCACTCTTGGTGCACATGTGCCACACGCAAAGAAGAACAATTCTTATTCTACAGCAACTGGTTCAAAATGTGTTGTCCAAATGGCTTCTAGAGCTTGCCCCCTTTGCCCCTTTTTCAAAGTCCTACTCTCAGTTTTTTAGTAATGTCCAATGGAACTGCTCTCCGGGGTAGCTTATGCTCCTCCAGCTTGAAGGCGTTATGGATGGAACTGCTCCGTCTGTTATATTATGGAAACAAACGAGAGTAGGACTTTGAAAAAGGGGCAAAGGGGGCAGGCTCTAGAAGCCATTTGGACAACACATTTTGAACCAGTTGCTGTAGAACAGGAATTGTTCTTCTTTGCGTGATTTTTTTTTTCCAGACTTCACAGTTGCTGACTAACAAGCAGGTGTCTGTTCCTAGGGGTGTCTGAGGAGTCCTGCTTGACTAGAGAGGGCAGAACAGCCCTTCCAAAACGAGCATGTAGGCAGGAACAGTCAGTGGTAAATGTGTGGCTCATTTTTGCACTGCTGCACTGTATGTTAGGTATGGAGGGATTTCCAGGCAGGCAGCAAAGGGTGCCTGAGCCCTAGTGGAATGTGTTCTGTAATGGCTGGGGCAGTGTGTGGCTAACTCAAGACGTGTTCTTCTGCACCCAAACGCTTACTTGGATAACCTGTGACCACACAGAATGATGGTCTAGGCTGCCTGGGCGTGTTCCCAAATGCTCTTCTGACTACACGGAATGCTTTTGCTGTGACGAGTGTGAAACTTCTCTTCCCCTGGGACAGAATGCGGGTTAGGGGAACAAAGAGGAGGCGAATGGGCCATTTTGGGGGGAACTCGGCAAGAACCTTCAACAGGAACTTAGGACAGGACCACTCTTAGACTGCCCTTTGAAACTTTATATCTGGTGTAAGGGCCTAAATCTCTGCTACCGCCTACTGTTATAATGACAACACATGACTGGGGGGCTAAACCTGGGGCTGAGGCACCTAACTCCTTTTATGCCTCCAGGCCTCAGAGTTTGCACTAACACAGAGTGAAGGGAGCAGGCTCCTAATGCTCCGGGTACTAAGATCCCAGAAAGGACCAGGGGGCCTCTCAAACTGGGGAAAAACATGAGAGTTGGTCAGGAATTTTGTTACTTGTAGGAAGGGGAAAATGCAGCGTGGCCCTTGGTATGAGGGTGACTTGCTGATGTTGCTGGTAGGTGGGCTCGTTAAAGGTGGTGGAAAGTCCCAGTTGCTTCAGAGCTGCCAACTAGTACAGTAGTGAGGAATGTGTAGCTATTGGGAGAAAACTGACGCTAAAATGCCCAGATTGCAAACATGTTTGGTGTAGCACTGGTTGAAGGCTTCCTGCTCTGGAGTAGAATGTTCTGAACATCAGTTTAAAAGCATCATTTGTAGAACACCATTTAGACCAGGAATGGGGGGTGGGTTGCATGAGAGCCCCTTCTTCACCTCTGGGCCACAGCAGCCCATGGCTCCCTGGGGTTCCACCTGCAGTCTCATAGCCCATCCCCTTCCTCCCCCCCGCCTGCTCCCCTCCTCCACACACACCAAGGCGCCAGAGCCTTGCACTTACCTGCGCCTATGCCCACCTCAGCACTTTCGGAGCCTACAAGTCACCTGATTCGTGCTCCCTCCTGGAATGCTTCAAACAGCTGATTCCCGATGTTCCAGCTCTGGGAGGGAAGGGTAGGAGTGGGACAGAGCTGCTCCTCTGAAAGTGTTGGGAGGGAAGAGCAGGAAGTGCTCTAGTGCCCTGGTACATGAGGCACATTGGGGAGGGGGATAGCCAGGGGCTCCACAGGTTGCCCACCACTGATCTAGACAGTCTGAATGCTGTCACATGTAAAGATTCTGGGTCCGAATGCAGTTTCTGAGAACTGAATTGGGAAACAGTTGGGAAAAAGAGAGGTGATTTATGGTAGTTTATCTGGTAAACCTATAACAAACTCCCTGGACATGCTGGAGCTGTCAAGACAATGTAACCTGCTTCTTACCTTGGGTCCCTCACAACCTTCACTTTCACATGGATTGCTGGAAATGGGTATATAAATCCTGTTGTCCAAGGAAGGAGGAAGTCCTCTGTCAGGGAGTGTGGGTTTGTGCTGTGTATACCCTAGTCTGAGGCTACTTGTGGCTTTCACTAAAGTCCTTGCTGACATAATCTGCTCAGGTGTTCAGAAGCCCAAGAAGGTGCCAAACTACTGCTGTGATATGGTGCGAATGCTGGAACACTCCCACAGATGGGGCTTCTTTACACCCCTAAGAACAGGCAAGAAAAACCATGCATGCCAGGCATTGCACTAAAACGTTTGTGCAAGCAAGCTTGCTAAGGGGACTATAAGCCAGTTGAGACTCCTCCATCTCTGAATGGAGGTATGTTACCAGTCTTTGTAGGTAGTGGTGTGGAAAGGGAAATTGCTATGAACAGCCGAAGGGGTTCTGTCTGCCACTGTAAGGAGTGTACGTCTTGTGGGACTGACCGTAGCCATGCAGTGCCTGCTGGATAGACAGACCTATCTCAACACCTCCTCTGATTCATGCATGGAAGTCTGGCATACGGTGTGACAACAGGCATGAGTTCATGTGTCCTAGAAGTCAAATGGCACTCTTGGATGTGTTTGTTGTCTGGAATCTCTGCTGTGGAAGGTAGAGTTTGACAGTGCAACTATGAACTCTGTGTTGTGATTTGGGAATTGTGAATTTCTTGGCTTTGAAATGTAACAAGGGAAAGTATTAGGATGCTGTACGCTTCACTGGTCACGTGTTGAGCTACTCTTTGGATTAGCAGGTCAGCAAGAGAGAACTAAGGCATATCTTTTTCTCCTTAAAGGAGCTGCTTCTTGCTGATAGACACTGATGAAAACCCTTGGGGCTCTAGCAAGGGCAAAGGCTCAAACTCTGCTGGCAGTGGGTAACAAGTATTTGTTGTGGCTGCTTCCTGTTAGGAGTTGAGACAGAATTGCCTTAGAATTCTTGGAGGATATTAACAGTTGGGAGCACAGAATTGCTCTGAGTCATTGTCCCACTGTTGCAGAGGCTATCTCTTGAATACAAGGGTGGGGGCCTTTTTTGGGTTGGGGGCCACTGACCCACAGAAAAATCAGTGAGAAGCAAAAACAAAAAAACCACTTCCCTGATGTGGCTATCTAAGTGAGAAAGCAGCCACTGCACTCAACCAACTAGGACATCTTGTGCTCCAGTCCTCTGGGAGTGGAGATTGGGCTGAGGCTCAGGGCTTCCCACCAGGGCTGGATTAGCTCTTCTGGGGGCCCAGGGCTAGATGATCCTGTGACCCCCTAGGCTCTGGGGTAGGACAAAAAATGAAGGGTTCAGTGTCTGGTGGGAATGGGCTGGGAAATCTGGGTGGGAGGGGGCAGGGGATTGGAGTGTTTATCTGGTGTAGCTCCTGGGAGGCACAGGTGGCTCCACACAGCAGTTTAAAAACCCACAGGCCTCTGTGCTGCCATTCCCCCTGCCTGGGCTTCAGCACCCATTCTCATGCAGAGGAGGTTGGGGCAACGGGAGAGAAGGACCTGACTCTTGTGGGCTGGATCAAGGGAAGCTGCTGGCCCTCTCTGCTCTAATGGGTTCTCCTTAATTGCGCCTCATTTGGCGGGACAGAGGACTGAAGCCTTAGTGCTTCTGCCCATTTCAGTAGCCCTGGTATGCCCTGCTGTCATGTGTTGATAGCTTAGCAAGCATCTCTGCCAGCTGCAGTTTCAGTTCCTCAGGTAACTGATCAACAAAATTAGAGAATGTGGCTACGTCTACATTGGCCAGATTTTGTGCAAAAACAGCTGCTTTTGTACAAAATCTTGCCACCTCTCTACATTGGCCCCGAGTACTTGCGAAAGAACACTGGCGTTCTAATGTGTGAAATCAGGGCTTCTTGCGCAAATACTCGTGACGCTCCCGCTCAGGGATAAGCCCTCTTGTGCAACTGTTCTTGCACAAGAGGCCAGTGTAGACAGGCAACATCCATTTCTTGCCCAAGAAAGCCCGATGTTTAAAATGGCCATCAGAGCTTTCTTGCACAAGAGAGCGTCTACATTGGCATGGATGCTCTTGTGCAAAAGCACATGCCAGTGTAGACACTCTTACTCAAATACTAACACAAAAACTCAAGTTAGAGTATTTGTGCAAAATCTTGCCAATACAGCCGTAGCCTGTGTCTCAATATGCAGAGTGGCCTTCGTTGCTTTCAGCTGAAGGCTTACAGAGAAGACCTGGTTCCCGGGAATATTTTCTTTGGGGATGCCTTTAAAGGACTTTGCTCTTTTGTTCTCTTCTGTGCTCCTTGGATAAGAAGCCAGCTGCCAGAAGAGATTAATTGTTCAAATCCTCTTACAGAGACTTTCACCACGTTTTGCTGTACTAAAGGTAGGTGAGCAAGAAGCAGGTCTGCGACAGAGGAATTTGGTGGGTTCTGGCAGACCATTGTTTGTTGGAATAGCTAATCTACCTCGTGTTAGTGAGTGCAATAGGCTTGAGCTTGTGAAGTTTTTCTTCAGTAGCATGTCTTAAGATTTCCACCACATACTTCAAGTCCTGGAAAACAGCTGCAGTGACAAACAGGTGAATTTGCTGTCTCAGCAAGCAAAGATGAGGATATTGCAGATGAGCACTGGATATTCTTGGCTCTGGAATATTCCTTACGGGTGCATCTACACTGCATCGTTATTTCGAAATAATGTGAGCATCTACACAGCTATTCCATTATTTCAAAATAACGGACGGCTTATTCCGAAAACTGTAAACTTTCATTCTATGACGAATAACACCTATTCCGAAATAGCTGTTTTGAAATAAAGCAAGTGTAGACACTCCACTGCTGCTATTTTTAAATAGCCCCTAGCCAGGGTCCTTCTAAGTTCTTCCTCCCCAGTGCCTCTAAAGATAGCACGTCTACATTAGGGAAGCATGCCTCAGACTAATTTTGAGGCTTCCCTGCGCTGTAGACGTACTATTTCAAAATAGCCATGCTGCGTACATGTACCCTACTTATTCATGTCTGAAAAATGCTCTGGAAATTATGTGGAGAAGATTCTATGGCCTGTGTAATGCTGGAGGTCAGAGTAGTTGATCTCAGTGGTCCTATGTGCTATTTGAATTTTTTTTCCTCTCTGGGAGTTGAACAGTTGCACTGAGATTGAATCCTCTTGTAGGGGAGGGATAAGAGGATAAGGTCTTTTGTGGATTGAGAACTGGTTAAGACAGGAAACAAAGGGTAGGAATAAATCCTAAGTTTTCCAAGTGGAGAGAGGTAACTAGCGGGGTCCACTGTAGGGTCTGTCCCATTCTATTGAATTTATTTATAAATGATCTAGAGAAAGGTGTAAACAGTGAGTAGCAAAATTTGCAGATGATACCAAACTGCTCAAGATAGTTAAGACTAAAGCAGACTGAAGAACTTCAAAAAGATCTCCCCCACCTAAGTGACTGGGCAAATGACATTTAATGTTGATAAATGTAAAGTAAGCACACTGGAAAAATAATTCCAGCTATAGGTACAATAGAATGGGAACTAATTTAGCTACAACTACTTGAGAGAGATCTTGGAGTCATTGTGGATAGTTCTCTGAAAACATCTCAGTGTGCAGCGGCAGTCAAAAAAGCAAATAGAATGTTAGGAGTCATTAAAAAAGTGATAGAGAATAAGATGGAGATATCTTATTGCCTCTCTGTAAAACCATAGGACGCCCACATCTTGAATACTATGTACAGCTGTGGTCGCCTCATGTCCAAAAAGATATATTGACACAGGAAAAGGTACAGAAAAGGGCACCAAAAATGATTAGGGGGCTGGAACATGTCCCCTGCTACATTTCTATCTAAAGACTTGGACTTTTCATCTTAAAGAGGAAACTAAGGGAGGATATGATAAGAGGTCTATAAAATCATGACTGATATGGAAAGAATGAATAAGGAAAAGTTCAAAAAGGAGCTAGCTGGATTCATGGAAGCTAGATTGGATTTTCCCTGTCCAACAATGGCTATTAGCCAGGATAGGTAGGAATGGTGTCCCTAATCTGTTTCTCTGGAGGTGGGTGACAGAGATGATGTGAGGATTAACTGGGCTAGATGGACCTTTGGTCTGACCCAGCATGGCCATTCTTACATCCTAACAGTGGTTACAGAAGATGGAGCTGGATTCCTTCACTTAAGCAGTATACTCCCATGGGGGCAATGAGTAGAAGGGTGTGTGTGAAGTAGGATGACCTCTCTAGGCACAGCCCAAGGGTCCACCTGGCCTTGTGCCAGCAGCAGCTCAGCTCTGCTTTATGCTGACAGGGTGGTAGAAAGACTTAACGTAGGTGATGTTCCTGCTGGATCCTAGGGCTGGTACTAAATCCGAGACACTTGTTGCAGGCAGGTTTTTGCGCAAGTAGAACACTAGCCCTACGTTTTTCCATTTATTGTCATGCATATACAGTAATAGAATACATCCCAGTTGAGAGGCAAGGCAATGTTGCAGGTTGGACCTGAGGCCCCGTTCCATATAGACAAATAGCTGGTCTGAACCAGAGCCAGCTCCCTGAAACCATCTTTGAGAGTCGCACACTAGGTTTATACACAGTCCAGGACAATAACTGCTCCCTGGTAGGTCCTCACCCAGAAGCCCCTCTTACTTTTTACTAGAGGTCCAAGCCTTGAAGCCTGGTGACTGCCGGGCCAAGAGGAGGCGGTTGTAGGGGCTACTCTCTGCTGTACGAAGCCGGGGAGGTGAGCGGGATAGAAAGCCGCGTAGGAAGGGTTTCTTGCCTGGAGGCTGACTTGGCTGCAGATTTTCCCTGTTAGCACAGAAGCGTTTCTTTAAAGTAGATGAAGGGGCCTGGAGCTTCTGCACAGTGTGGTACTGTTCAGCAATGCACGCTGCCTTCTTCCGCAGATCCAGTTTCACTAACGTCATGGTGTTTTGCAGCTCTGCCAGGGTTTGGTCCTGAGAGAGGGAACCAGCACTATCGTTACCCTTACGAAAGTGGCCTCCTCCCTGTTAGGCACCCAGAAGTTAAAGGTACCCAAAAAGCCACAAAGGAGCATGTAGTGCCAAGCAGCTGCTGCTGGCCCTGCTGAGGCAGGTAATCCCTGGGATGGACTAGGTGAGTAGTGCAGCCAAGGAAGCTGAATCCGCCCCCCCTGCAAATGTTCTGTTGTGGAAATGGCGCTCTGATGTCCTGTGTTTGCCCTCAGATTGACCTCTGCCATAGCCAGCTCTTGCATGGAGCACTAGGAACAGTTGCTATTACTGTGCTGAGGCCACACAGAGGTGCAAGGTGGAAATTGTGTGGGTTAGGGCAACCTGTTCGTACAGTCCCTTATTAAATGGTGGCTTTCGTTAGCCTGATCTGTCCTTCAGCAACTGAGGCAGGCAAAATGGACTTGGCTGCTTTCTATTTTCCCTGCTGACTCCCAACTTATTTTTCTGTAGATTAAAAGCCAAGTTTTTGGTGACATTCAAGTATCTAGGCTGAATCCCATACAGTCCCCACAAGCATAACTGTGACATTACCTGTCTAGCCAGGGTCTCTTCACAGGTGCAAAGAGCTTCTCGAAGTTTTCCTGCACTTGTGGTGTGACAACATGATCTCTCTGCAGACTGGAGAGACTCCCCAAGTTTTTGCAGCTCTGACCGCAGCAGCTTCACGTTCTGCAGAAGAGTGGGAAAGTCAGTCCTTGCAAGAGACTCTGCAAAGCAGGACAGCAGCCAGCGCTAGAAGCAAAGCTATACCACAGCAGCCTTACCTGCAAGGCTCAGAGAAACCCTCACCCCCTCAAAGATCCTACTGGAGTAGGATCATCAATAGCAGCTCCCTCAACTGTGGAGGCAGTGCCTCCAACACCCCAAAGGAAAAGACCACTGGCATCCATGAGAATGTGGTTGAAGCCAAGCAAGTGATAGTGAAATACACAGTAGTGATTGTGAACTGGGAGGAGCCCTCCAGAGTTCCCATATCCCTCAGAGCACACTTACCTTTTGTCCATCCTCCAGCTTCCTGTCCACATCCACAGTGATGGGTCTGGCAGAAGGGGGGGGCTCCAGTAACTTCTGGCACCTGTGCAACTCTGAAAACAACCAGGAGCAGAGAAGCAAAAAATATATGCACATAGCCCAGCAGAGGTAGGTGCTAAATGATCCAGGGCCCTGTGAAACAATGCTTTAGAAGTGCACAAGTCAGGCAGTTCAGCTCTAGAACTCCACTGGAGCCTCCTCATTCTTGGCTTCTCAATGAATTTGGGGTAATAGAAGTTTCTACCCTTAACTCTGCCCCCAACTCCGATTTGTCATGGCATGACTATAGGCCCCCCCAGCATACACCCACAGAGAGTCTGCCCCAAACCCCATCTTTTTACTGACGGAGGGGAGCTGGAGAAATGAAGTGGCTGGTCACAGGACAGCTCTGGGAGTAGCACTGGGCTCAGGACTCCCCCATCCCAGTGACCCAATATGCTCAGGGCAGAGCTGTGAGGCCCAGGCCCAATTCAGAGCCACTAAGGCCCTAGTGCCGCACCTGCACTAGTGGTGTTCAGCTCTGCTTGACACTGCTCCAGCTTGGCTTTCACTTCCAGCAGTTCCTGCTGCAGAGTGGATGCAGCTGCCACTCGCTTTGATCTGCGCAGGGGCTGCTCCAGCTCCTGCTGCTTCTCCAGGGCCTCTGATGGCAACTTTGCTTCCTGCAGAGCCGCCTCCAGCTCTCCAATCTTCTCATCACGTTCCTGAGGCAGACGGGCAGATTTGCTCAGACCCAGAAACTCACAGCCACTTCCCTACTCCGTGAGCAACGCTTCCCAGGAAAGGGGGCGCAACTTTCCCCTGAGGAAACCTCGCTGCAGGGGACCCGCCAAGTGGCATGTAGGTTGCAGGCTTACGCCATTCACCGGGGCACTGCACTAAATCAGTCTGCAGCAGAGCCCCAGAACCCTGCCTGCTTGACAGACTGAAGCCAAACTGTTCTGTAACTGCCCCCCCCCAGTCTTTGGCATTAGCCTGGCAGTGATACGATTTTCTCCAGCACTTGCGCAATGGAGGGTGTGTTTACAACATGCTCAGCCCCCGGGAAGCAAAGATGCTGAGTTTCACTAGACTAGCTGCCTTCTATCCCTTGCCCAGCAGTGGCTGTGTTAGAACCCTGCAACCAAACATGACCTGACAAGTGCTGAGTCTGGGTTAGTGGATGGAGTGGGTATCAGTGACAGCTCTGCTCTGTTCCTGCCAGCTGCCACCAGCTTGCTGCACTGTGCGCCAAAGAGTCTGCACAGCAGTTCCCAAGCAGGCTGACCCTGGGGCACGAGGGGATGGTGACTGCAACTCAAGGGTCATGTGCAGTGGTAACTCCATCTGCTTAGGCTTGGGTCCAGAAATTAGGCCCAGGCAGACCTTGATGCTGTGGTACGTGGAACAGCAGCCAAGATGTTGGAATGGGACTGCAGAGGGCTCTGAGCCAGAGCTCAAGGCCTGTAGGGGGGAGCAGAAGGTACAATTGGTGCTGTCACATAGAAGGCCTTGCTAGGGGGAGAGTCAGATTTCCTGGGCCACACAAGCTCTTCTCACCACCCTGGCTCTGCTCCCATGCCACCTGCCTACAGGGGCTCCATTTCCTGCCATGTGCACACACCCACCTGAATCATCTCCTGGTAATAGTCCAGGAGTGACTCCTTCAAATTGCTCAGCTTATCCTCATACAGCTCCACCAGTAGCTCTTTCTGGGTCTCCAAGTGTTGGCTGCAGAGAGAGCATAGGGCAGAGATGCCATGTGTACCAGATCAGCAGAGAATGTGGGAGGCTAAGAGCTGAGGCTGGGATGAGTTCCCTGGTCCCTTGCAGGGTGACAGTACCTGCACCACTGCTCTTTTTCTTGCAGCTGCTCTAGCATCTCATTGCAGAGCTCCTCTCTGAGGCGCATTTCCAGGTGCAGCTTGTCCTGCCGCTCCTGCACCAGCAGATCCCACAAGACCTCCACAGCTCGGGGAAGGTCCTGAAAGGAGCGCACAAGAGAACGTCAGCCTTGTGCCTGTGAATCAGGGAGTGCTCGCATACGAAAGGCCAGGAAGGTCCCACGTTCCCTGAACTGAGGCAGGTTTGCTCCCCGTTCCATGTACTAAAGCTTGGTCCAGCGTAGTCACATCCCAACAGCTAAATCTAACCCAGCCTCTCTTAACATTTCATCAGTTCCTGATCATTCTTCTAGTTCTCACGCCACGCCGGCCCAGCATCCTGGCCTGTACAGCTTCACCGAGCCTCCGTGTGGCACTAACTCTCGGCCGAGAGGGAACTCCGTACCCTGTTCCCAAGGGTCAGATTGTTAAATGAGGCAGACTCCTGCTACCTTGTCCCCTTTAGCAGCTGCTCCACTTGTGGGACAGTGCCATATCCATGCCCATTTGAGCCACGGATGCAGTGTCCTTTGTGCATGGGGAAAGCCTGTGAGGCTCATTACTAATGGTTCTTTGACCCTCCCACTGTTCACTAGTTCCACAGTTGTGCCAGTGATCATCTTTGCTGTTCCCAATAATGTACAGAGCCTGTCCCAAAGGCTGGGGCTGGGATAGAGTCATAGAATACTAGGACTGGAAGGGACCTCGAGAGTCATCGAGTCCAGTCCCCTGCCCCCATGGCAGGACCAAATACTGTCTAGACCATCCCTGATAGACATTTATCTAACCTGCTCTTCAATATCTCCAGAGGTGGGGATTCCACAACCTCCCTGGGCAATTTAATCCAGTGTTTAACCACCCTGACAGGTAGGAACTTTTTCCTAATGTCCAACCTAAACCTCCCTTGCTGCCGTTTAAGCCCGTTGCTTCTTGTTCTATCCACTGAGGCTAAGATGTACACGTTTGGACTCACCTCTCCACCCCACATGCCATGGTGGCTTCACAGGGCATGAAAGGAACTATCACTCACCTCCCTATCATACATGGTCACTTCTGCCTCGTCCTCGCTCTCCACATCAGGCTCCACTTCCTGCTTTGAGCCTAGCCCTGAATTCCTCCTGTGTTCCTTGATTAAGGATTGGATAGATGGGAGGCCCAGCTTTGTGGGAGGAGCTTGAACAAGCTGAAGAGAAAACGAGGCCATGGTTATAGAGCCCACAAGGCCTGTGGACCAAGGTGGTCCCTAGGCAAATGTTTTCCTCAGCCATAGTCTTGGTCTTCAAGCTAACTGTCTGGGTATGCAGTGGAGGCACTCAGCTTCACCAGAGGGACTCATAATACCTTCCCTCCCCAAATGCGAAAGGAAGAAACTGTTCCCATAGAAGCCAGAGGGAGTCCCGAGATCCAGACTAGGGATACAGGCTCTTGGAAGATCCAGAATAACCTCTCCACTATTGGGCACCTGGCACTGGCCCACTGACCTGGCTAGCTATGGCTGAGAACTTGGCCACATGCAGGGTCTCATCATATGTGGATGCACACTGGTTAATGTTGACAATCATGCAGGAACGCCCACGCCCTGTGAAGAAGCCCTGAAACACACGGGTCAGCTTGCTGTCCCGGAACGGAACCACGTTCTGCTTCGGCCTGCCAGGAGAGAGGAGAACAGACAAGCTAAGCTCAGACAAGTGTGTGGGGAACCTGCCCCCTGCCACTGTTCTCTTGTGCGCACTCACTTGGCCTGCTGGTTCTGACGGAGGGCAGCAATGCAGCGGCCCAGAGTATGCAGGGAGGTGTTGATGTTGTTTGCCTCCTTCATGCGGTCCCCGCTTTTCTGGTCCTTGCAACGTTCTGAGCCAGCGAGGTCACACAGGGACAGCCTAAGGGGCACCAAAGGAGTTCCGTGTGATCTGGTCCCATTGACCCTGCCCCGATCCCACTCTGCACATCCTGTGACACCCTTACTCTGTGTTCACCCTCCCCTTAAAAGCCCATCTTCCAAATTCCTTGAGTAGTGCAGAAGCTGCTTGGGCCCCAGGACAGCTGAGGGAGTTAGCTCTGTCATTGCAGTCTTAGAGGCTCTTAAACTACACCAGTCAACACTGCCACCAAAATCAGGATGAGGGGGATGGGTCAAGACAGCCAGAAATCCCAGCTGCTTTTCCAGGACAGAGCCAGCGCACACCTCTGGCTTACTACTTTGTTGAATACTGTGTGCAGTTGCGGTCGCCTCATCTCAAAAAAAGATATCCCTGTGTTAGAATAAACATGGAAAGGGCTAAAGTGATCCCAGGTCTGGAACGGCTACCGTACAAGAAGAGATTGATTAATAGGTAGCAGGTTGAAAAACACAAGGAAGCATTTCTTCACACAAACGCACAACTAACTTGTGGAACTTCTTGCCAGAGGATGTTGTGAAAGCGAAGTCTTTCACAAGGTTCAAAAAAGAACTCTGTAATTCCGTGGAGGACAGGTCTATCGCTGGCTGTTAGCCAGGATGGGCAGGCATGGTGTCCCTAGCCTCTTTCTGCCTGAAGCTGGGAATGAGCTACAGGCGATGGATTACTTGATGATCCCCTGTTCTGTTCATCCCCTCTGGGGCACCTGCCATAGGCCACTGTCAAAAGGCAGGACACTGGGCTGGATGGACCTTTGGCCTGACCCAGTCTGGCCGTTCTTATGTTCCCTGATATCTTTAACAGCAGCAAAGATGGAGAGCTCAGGTACAGGAGCCCCCAGCCTCCTTGCCCCATCCAAAGACGTGCAGGACTCACTCGCTGATTCTGGGGAACGCCTCACTGCTGCTTCCCTTTAAGTGCAGAATCCGAATGGAGAAGATGCTGTGACTGCAGGGAGCAAGGACAAAGAGTTTGAAGGAACATCCCAGAAAACACCCCAGCCCCCAGCTCCCAGCCACAGAGTAAGGCCACAGTCTCCACACCAGACCGTGCCCTCTCCCTAACTCAGACCTGCGGCTGGAGTTTTGGTTCAAGTGGGTGCAGGCAAAGCTCTGGTTTCGCCGACCCAGTTTCAGGAGCCTCCAGGCCTCCTCAGCATCTCGGACATTGATCCAGTTCAGATCTGAAAGAGCAGACAAAGATCAGGCAGCCGAGTGGGAGGGCAACAGATCAGGCTCCACACCAGACCGTGCCCTCTCCCTAACTCAGACCTGCGGCTGGAGTTTTGGTTCAAGTGGGTGCAGGCAAAGCTCTGGTTTCGCCGACCCAGTTTCAGGAGCCTCCAGGCCTCCTCAGCATCTCGGACATTGATCCAGTTCAGATCTGAAAGAGCAGACAAAGATCAGGCAGCCGAGTGGGAGGGCAACAGATCAGGGTTGCCATCCCAGGTACCCGCTACCTGCCTTGTCCCAGACTCTGTTACCACGAGCCACCGGGGCGGGGGGGGGGGGCGCCCAAACCGTAAACCAGCAGCAGAACCAAGAGGAGCAGCTGCCTGGGTGTAAGATCCCAGAGCACGCTCCCTTCCCCATCCGTGCCCTCACTCCACACCACACTAGTGCGTTGTCACCCCGCTCCCCCTCCGGCTATCACTCCCGTCAGTCCAAACAGAGCTGGCAGAGCCCTCCCCAGAGCTCCCCCCACAACAAGGCTGGCTAGATCTACCTTTCACATAGGGGTTGCCAGTACGGTCTTCGCACAGCCGCAGCGTCTGCCTTTTGCGGTTCTGACCGGACAGAGGCACTTCCAGCAAGTCATAGATCAGCTCATTGTAAATCTCAAAGAAGGAGACCCAGATGGAGAACTGCACATCCCCCGGGGTGTGGAGCGAGACGCGGTCTGGGTCAGCCCAGCGAGGGTCCAGTTCTGCTAAGGCGGGTCAGAGGATGGTAGTGATTACAGCAGCCTCCAACATGGTCCAGCTGAATGGTGTGGGGCTAGGAGATTGCTGCCCCGCCCCGCCCCACAGAAACTCTCTATCCCAGCCCCAGTACATCCCATATGCCCTGCCTAGGACTTCCCACCAGGACATGCTCAATATCTCCTTAGCACTTATTTCCCATGTCAAGAACTTCCTTCGTGCCCTGCCTGATTTGGGGCAATGAGGGAACATAACCTTTAGACTGTATATCTCTGTGGCTTTGGTCCCGGTTACCCAAGATGCCTTGTCTCCGGGTGTTCAAGTCTGTCAGATGAGACTAGGGGACAAATGCTTTCATTGGTGCCTGTACACTTATTCCTTGGTAGTCTGACAGAGCCCAAGCCATCAACTGGTGGGATGTGGTGCAACGCTCAGCTGCTCACATAGGGAGCCCCGTGAAAGGGGGAGGGACATGTCAATGCGTTGCCCCCAGCTGACAGGCAATGCACAGAGCAGAGAGAGAGAGTCACAGCCAAATTCCCCACAGAATCCCACCCCCCCAAAGAAACAGTGAGCCCCAGACTGCAGCGGCCTTACTGCCCGTCCCACAGCACATCTACCCGACAACAAGGGTGCAAAATCCACTCCTCCCAATCCAAAAATGGCTGGTATAGGAGGGCAGTGCCCTGGAGGTACCTTCCAGTAGGCTGCTTGACTGGCTGGTAGAAGAGAGTCCTCCAACCCCACTATCAGAACTGGCACTTGTGGTAGCCTGGACCTGGGACTCAGTACTGTGGCTCCCCTGCCGTGGAGTCAGCATTTCCTCCTGGAAATCCATGGCCAGCATGAGTGACACGACCGATGTGCTCATACCCCTGCCCTGACATACCCAGAAGGGGCACTCACCTCCCGCAGCCCCCCGCACAGCAAGGTCAGCTTCTTGGTCTCCTCCTGATGCACCTGTTTGCTATCCAGCCAGGTCACTTCACTGGAAAGCGAGGGCTTCAGATCCATAGCCTGGTACAGCTGCTCCCCCACACTGTTAAAGAGGACAGCTAGGGAGCGAGGCAGGATCCCTCCATCTTTGCTGCTCCCTGGACAAGAAAACAGCATCAGGCTGAGCACTGAGAGGCAGACCTCACCAACCTGTCACAATAGGCGCTTCTTACCCTGGATGGTGTGCGTCTTCCCAGAGTTGGTGATGCCGTAGGTGTAAACCAGCCAGTTCTGCCCATGAAGTACATCCTTCAGAACTTCCCCCATCGTTTCATCAAAGAATGCCTTCTGCCCCACTGTCGCTCCAAAGATCTGCAACCACACACGCCACAGGGGAGCACGGACGACACGAAAGAGGCCTCTTGCCCTTGGCTGCAGCACCCACTGCTATTTCAGTGCTGCCCTTCCCCTGCCAGCCATCTCAGTCACAGGCTGCCAGTTACGCTGTTCCAGTACACTTAGCTACATGTTTCTTTAAACCTCTCCAGTGGTCCAGGCCTGAGCACCTACCTTGGTGAAGGTGAATTTATGTACTGCCTGGCCTATGCCCCGGGCAGTGCTCCGCATGGTGAAAGAGTCCTGAGGCGCTCTCAGAAGCAGCGTCTCCGAATTCTCAATACAAACACAGCCCTAAGGTACAAACAAAGCTCCCTCACCACAACGGCTCAAAAGACAAAGCTCCCTCCCACCCATGACTACCACAAACCCAGCAGGTTGTGGAATCCTCCACGTGCAGCACAAGCCCCCGTTCCCAGTAGGACGGGGAAACGGATTCTTCTGTTGCCCACGTGCAGCTCCTGCTTGGCCCAAGGTTCTCACCTGATCCTCCTGCTTCTCCAGCTCAGATGGCTTCAGGGGCCGGACTCTCAGATACACCTTCACTTTCCCATTGTCCTCAGGGGCAGTCTGCAGAAGCCCAACAGGTGAGCGGTATCAGTCAGTGGAAGTACCAGACAATTCTGTCAAGCTCAGTGCACCAATGGGAACCATCGCAGGGCACAGGCAGCTCATGAAACATGCCTCAGAAGCCTCTGGACACTTCAGTGGCACTTGCTCCAGAAGTTTCAAAACAGGAGCTTGCTCAGGCACTTCCAGCTGGTTCTTGGGCCACCAGGAGGCAGCTTCTCCAGCAGTACCGGAAGTGAGAGACTAGCTGAACTCTCATCCCTCCCTTTTTCCCCAGAGGCATCCTGCCTGGCTACAATGACAGGCCCCATCAATTGGCCTGACCATACTATTTAAACCAGAAGGAGGCACAGGAAGTTGACTAAGCAACTTCATGACTGACTGGCGGGCGTATTGGGCCTGATTCATGTTTGATCTCTCGACTCTGGCTCTGGTTTAGATGAAGAAATAAGGAGAAGTTAGGTTCTGGGTATAAGTGTATAGGAGCAAGAAAAAGCAGTTGCTTACCTTTCACATAACATCTTACAGAACAAGAGTTGTGTTGCTCATGCCCCTCCCAAGTAAGTGTGTGAGCATGCCATGTGCAGAGTCGTAGGAAGATTTTTTCCTCTGGCAGTACCCATCAGCCAGCTGTGGAGCCCCCTGGAGTGGGGCCTTTATGGTGCTGAGCCTTCACCTGCTGTGTTCCTTCTTGCCGGAAAAGCCTGACAGAGGGGACGCAGGCAGGTCTTGGAATGGGCACGAGCACCACACCTCAAAGAGTAACAGTTACCAAAGGCAGACAGACATTTCTTCTTCAAGGGATTGCTCATGTCGATTCCAAGCAGGTGACCTCCCAAGCAGTTCTCTGGCGGAGGGGTCAGAGATCACAGAGTTGCAGATTGAAGCACTGCTCTCCTGAAAGCAGTATCATTTCTGGCATGTTGATAAATGGCGTAGTGAGATATAAACCCTAAAAAATCCTGGATCGGCACATAGGCCCAGATAGTGGTGAAGCCTGCACCTGTGAAGACTGTACAGTCAGCAGTGGAGCTAGGATTCTGGAGAGACTGTAGCAGGCGCTAATACAAGTTGTGATCTCAGAAGAAATCCTCTGGGAGGTGATAGTGAGACCCTTTATTCTGTCAGCAATGAAAACAAGCAGTCGGATACATTTCCTGAATGGTTTAGCACGTTCCAGATCGCAGGCAAGGGCATGCCTGACATCCAAGGAGTGACATGCGCTCTCTGACCCATCTGGCTTTGGATAAAAAAAATCCAGCAAAAAATGTCCTGGTTAGCATGAAAATCTGAAACCTCCGGAGCAAAAATGCTGGTGTGGCCTAAACTGAACCTTATCCTTATAAAAATTGCATAAGGCAGTTGGAACGTCAAAGCCTTAAGGTCAGAAACTGTTCTGGCTGACAAAAGCCACTAGAAAGGCCACTTTCCAAGAGAGAGAGAGGAGGCAGCACCTCGCTGGAGGCTAGAAGGGCAAGCCCATCAATTTGGACAGCACAAGACTGAGGTCCCATTGGCCGTCTCACATGGGGATAAAGTCTGTCCTGGCCCTTCAGGAAATGGCTCACCACTGGATCAATAAACACGCAGCAGTCAAGTGCACTCTCTCTGTAGCCACTGCCAGGCCTGGTGCTTTAGTGGAAGAAGGTAGTCCAGAACAACAGGGATAGAGGTTTCCCCAGGTTGAATGCCCTTTTAAAGCAACCACAAAAAAAATCTCTTCCAACTTGGCAAAGTAGATAGTGTGTGTGGACAGCTTCCTGCTGCCTAGAAGAACCTCTTTCACTGCCACCGAACATGGCAGCTCCCGCACATTTAACCATGGAGCATCCAGGCTGTGAAATGGAGGGACTCCAGGCTGGGATGCTGAAGATGACTGTGATCCTGAGTGAGCAGATTCTGGATCGGGGCACAGGAAGAGGCATGTCCACCAACAGCTCTAGAAACATGAACCAGTGCCATCTGGGCCACACCGGAACTACCAGGATCACCCACGCCTTGTCCTGACAGATCGTGAGCAGGACCTTGGGGATGAGGGGAAGTGGTGAAAACTGCCACCTTTCCATGAAACGAGGAAGGCGTCTGCCAGAGCACCCAGGCGGTGACCGAGGAAAGAACAAAAGCTCTGGCACTTCCTGTTCTGGCACATTGCAAAGAGTTCTTTCCGGGGAGACCCCTGCCTCTGGAAGTGACCACTGGTGCAGCAAAAGGATCTGCTGAGCTGACAGGCCAACTCGTTCTGAGTACCAGGCAGATACAAGGCCTTCGGGTGTATTTTGTGAGCACTTGAGGACTTTGTGACACAAGGGAGGGGTGAGCACCACCCTGTTTGATATAAAACAAACAGCACTGGTGTTTTCTGCTAGAACCGAAATGCATTTGTCCTGCAGGCAAGGCTGACTGCCGCAGTTCTGTGACCTGCATTGGAATCACCCACTCGAGCCCATTTCCAGCCTTTGCACCACAACCGACTCTTGTCCTAGTCACAGAGAAGGGGTCTCCTGCAGACAGTCTGCAGGCTGAGCCACCCCTGGAAGGGGGGCAAAGACCTGAGAATGACTCCAATGTCCAGCTGCTCTTGCTCGTTTTGGGGAGTCCACGGACACCAGACTCAACAGCATGGGCTGTTCCCTAAGCACCGCAGAGTTTCCAGGCTCAGGATGCACTCTCCTGGCCGTATCAGCCTTAGTTGTAGGTGACCTTCCCCCCCCTCCAGCCGATGCTGCCTCTTAGACGGCATTGGGGAGCAGTGAACAATGCTGAGATGTTGCTCCACCCCTTTAGGATCCAGGGAATGCCGGTGCCAGGGAGTCTTCAAAGCAGAATCCTTCAGCAATGCTGTCCCACACTGAGGATGTCTGTTTTGGCACTGGGCCAGGCTGCACTGGCTGGTGGTGGAATCAGGAGTCTGAATCTAAAGGATGGTAACCCCTTTGTCCATGTGATGTGCCTCCCCTAAGCACTTGAGACAAGAGTTGTGAGAGTCTCCCATGGGCATAGACTTCTGGCAAGTAGCGTGTGGTTTAAAACCCTGGGAGCAAGGCATGCCTCAGTCCCTGGGGGAGGGGAGGATGGGACTACTCCCCACTAAAAAGAAAAAGCTATTTACATGATATAATTAGCACTTAACTAATGATGGAATAACTACAAGACATTAGAGCTAGGGAAAGGCTTGCCCAAGGCAAGAGAAAGGAAGCTTCAACCTCACTGGCTGTAAGAAGGAAATGAGTGAGGAGAGGATGGGCAGTGGCTTATATACAGCACCATAGGGGCAGTGGCTTATATACAGCACTGTAGTGGCACCACTCCAGGGGACTCCACAGCTGACCAACGAGTATTGCTGGCGAAGAGCTTTCTGACGACTATGCACGTGATGCGTGCACACCTACTTGCAAACGGCATGAGCAATCACTCGAAGAACAGAAGTTGCCATGTGAGAAAGCTAGAGATAAATTGGAGACTAAGTTTCATGAGAAAATAAAAGTTAGCAAGTGCTTGACCCAGAATGATGTTTTGATTAGAATGTTTTCGAGAATCATGAATGTATTAAAATACTGTCTAAGTTGATAGTGTGGGAAGGACATTGGCACAAATGTTGATTTAAATAGTGTGCAATAAAAAAAGGTAACAAGGTGGTGGTGGAAATAGAATTATGATAAAGAACTCTTTAATTATATTACAGCATCCAAGAAGAAGCCTTCCTAAACTGCAGGGAGCCCCAGTGATCAACAAGGTACTGTGAGTTTCCAGGGTTATGAGGCTGTACTTCACTGTTAGTGGACTGATCACCCTGCAATTCACTGTTTTATCTTTGAGTGAGAGGATAACAGTATCATTAGTAAAAGAGTAGCATTTGGGTAAGTGTAAGCGCATGTCTGTTTATTAAAAAGAAAAGGTAATGAAGCAAATTTTGGCTGCATAATTTGGCTGTTACTTTCGTGGTCCTCTGCTAAATACGTTTTCGCAAACCAACTGAGAGATTTGAACCCGAAACCTGAGTTGGGTTTGATACACCCTTATCTTAGTTACTTAATATTAATTGTGAACACTTGCATCATATAAGTTACAAATGTCTGGCTTAGTTCCTGGACTCCGACTCCAGCTGACTTCTGGCTTGGTTCCCTCTCTGTAGGGCTGGTATCTTTGCCCATTAGTACAGAGAACAAGCCAAAGCTCAAAGTGTAGTACCCTCCCATCAGCCACAGTGGTTCTCAACTCATTTCAGTCCACAGACCACTAGGCCAATCAAAACATTTTCATGGACTTTGGACAACGTTCCTGTGGACCACCGAAAAAGTCACCATGGACCACCAGTTGAGAACCACAGGGCTAGATAAAGAGTGCCTGGAGTAGTAGGCCTGGTGCAGTATTAAAGCAAATGCTTACAGGATTACTGCCTAGTGCATACATTTGTCTAAGTTGCTACTAGCATTGCTAAAACAGGCATTTTTAAAAATTATTAGGCACTAAATATTTACATTAAAGCATTTCAAAATGGTAGTATGCAAACATCTCAATCTACTACTAAAAAGATGATTTGACAAAATAAGATCTTATCTGAGGTATCAGGAACATGGGGAGGTAATAATATCATAAAGCATACATGGTGGTATGTAAGTTGCTTGTCCCAGTCTATTAACGTTTGAGTATTTGTGTACAGCCAAAAGAAAAACAAAAATTCCTTCTGGTGACTTGCCATGGGGCATTTGTGCTAATGCATTAGAACTACGCCTTGAGGCCAGGCAATAAACCTGGCAAAGTGGCTGTATCACTGACCCATACCTGTAGTCTTTGTCTGCATCAGTGGTTCCTAAACTTTTCCAGATGGGGACCCATCTTGACAATTCAGGAAGATTTGGTGGCCCAAGACAATTCAAAAATGGGGGGAGAAGGTGAGGCACCTGGGTAGACACCTGGCAACTCTTTTGAAATGCATTGGCCACCCATATTTGGGTCCCAACCCATAGGTTGGTCTACATACAAGAAGCATGGTGGTCTAGCCAGGAGCCCTGGCTGTTAGGGGTGATAACACCAAAGCTTCAAAAGCATTAAGCAGCTGTAACAGCTTTAACACTGCACCATACTGCAACCCTCACCTGCTCGGAGCCCCTCAGGTTTGGGGAAATAGCAGAGAAATCCGACAGCAGGTCTTTGCGCAAGCCAGCCCCCAGCTCTGCTGCCGTGGACTCGAGCAGGGGCGAGGTTGTGACCTCCTCCCCAGACAGCAGCCCCAGAGGGGAGAGGAGTTCTTGGGCCATGGTCCCCACAGGTGGCTTCTGCAGGAAAGGGGCACAAATAAGATCAGCTCGACTGCATGCCCAGCCCCATGGCACGCTCCTCCCCCCCCAACGCACCCCCCACT